TACAACAATCGAATGCATAAGCTTAAAAGCATCATCAATAGAAATTGCAGGGTTAATAAGCATGTATTTTTTTTTCCCTGTATGACAGTAAATCCTCATTAGGATACCATTATGCTACAGTAATTTGCATTTGTCAAACGTAGGGTCCCGCTCGACGGCTACTGAGCTCTGCAGAGATTGATTATAGAGATGATCCATGAACTGTGTTCACCCTTTGTTTCATATTTTGTAAAACAACTATTATAGAAGATATGATTTCATAAAATGTGTTTCTTTTGAAGGACCTGTGATTCTACCATTTTCTTTCTTTTTCCATCTAAAAATATATATATTCATGATCCTATGATCACCCTAAGTCTTCTTTGATTTCTAGAAAGTTTTATTTTAGGTAGTTTAGTACTATCTGACATAAAACTGGTAAATATCCCTCTGATATGACTTTTAGTTTACTAGATCTTGATCAAAGCTTTGAAATATTCAAATGAATCTCTTTATCCTGAATGAGGTTAGTTTTTAGATTAAAGTTGTTGTTTTGTTTTGTTTTGTTTTTTTTTTTCTTTTTTATGCATCGGTCAATTGAGTTAAAGTGATTGGGATTTAAAATTTTGGGCCCTGCTCCATATCTCAAACCCCTGTTTCAGAAGAATTGACTAAAGTTTGCTTCATGTACTGATAAAAGACATGAAGTGTATAAAAATCATTATTTCAAAATTAGGATATATATATTTTTTATACAGAAACTATTGAATTAAGTGAAAAACCATTTTATCCTGATATTATCTTACTCAATGGACTTGTTGACAGAGCAGTCCCCAGAAACATGAACCAATACATCACTCAAACTTAAAGTGGCTGTTGCCACTATACTTTGCTATGTTGAGGCAATGTCCTTGGTAATGGGCACTTGTTTGTCCACTGTTGTGTTGTCTGTGCATGCATATCTGATTTCTGACTGTTGTTTCCACATGGCCCATATAGTTTCTGCAGGTGTTACCCAGTGTGGATAGTGTCTGTTTCTAATTTGGTGGGATAGGTAACTCTGGAAAAATAAAAGTGTAAACTACTATCCAGTATATGATATTCTTTTTTTATCAAGTGCTCTGATCTAAATCAATATTTTAAGCCATGTCCTATACAACTGAACAAGCAAGATAAATTCTTAGAGAATGACATAATTATTTTACTTTGGGTATTGCACAGCTGCAATAAATCAACAGGGAATAACAGGTTATGTAAATTCCAACATATGTCTACATATGTGCAGCATAAATTATTCTTATTATAACATTATATTACCAAAAAAGCACTTCAAAATTTGCATGTCATAATATACTACCATGCAGGTCTTGCACAAATCAACAAACACAAGTGCATTATTGTGCATATGGTCCTGCACAATCCAATAAAATACATGTGTATATGGTCCTACACAAATCAACAAACACAAGTGCATTACTCTGCATATGGTCCTGCACAATCCAATGAAATACATGTGCATATGGACCTACACAAGTCAACAAACACAAGTGCATCTGATCCTGCACATTTTCCCTGCAAAGTTCAACAAATTCATGTGTATATGGTCCAGGACCTACACAAGTACTAGTCATCAAAAATGTGTGCATAGGGACCTGCATGAGTCAACAACTTGCATGTGCATATATTGTCCTGCACAAGTGACTAAGTCAACAAAATACAAATGCATATGGTCCTGCACAAGTGACTAAGTCAACAAAATACATGTGCATATGGTTGCGTACAAGTCAACAAAACAAAATATATGTCAATTTGGCATAATTATGTATGGTTCTGCATGAGTCGACAAAATACATGTGAATATAATTCTGCCCAGATCAACAAAATGCATGTGCATATAATCTTTCATGAGTCAAAAGGTAATACATGTGCACATGGTCTTGTCCATGTCAACAAAATACATATGCATATTGTTCTGCACATGTCCACAAAATATGCGTATATGTTCCTACAAGAGTCAACCAAATGTGTCAGTGAAATGAATGTGAATATGGTCCTTCACAATCATAAAATACAACATAACATGTAAATCAGTGGTGGGTTTGCATGGTAAACATAAGTAGTGTATGTGGACCTCACTCTACACTAATTCTCAGTAAAAGGTCACCTGAAACTATGGTGTGCACCCTTAGCAACAATACTATATCAGCATTAAATCATGTAAATCATTCTACCTACAATATATATGTATATACAAGCTGTGCCTATGACCTGCACAGTTTATGTGATAAATGTGTATGTGGTCCCACGTACACTTTATCTTGATTCAACAATTGAAAATTTGAATCATACACGATTTGTGAACCCATATAATGACAATATTTTACCAACATCATATAGGCAACTTACTCCAAACAATATTTTTGGCTCCATGAACAACTTGAGTAAACTTGAGTAAGATCATTCGTTGTTCAAACTCTTAAAAGGAAAAGCAGAATTTGTTACCAAGTATAATACCTCTATTGGTAAAAATATTGCAAAATTATATAAGGAACCAAAAAACTTTAGCCTTTAATTATGAGCTAATTAACTTAATTTTAATGGATAACACATGACTTCATCAGAAGTACTATACTATACTGGCCTGTTTTATACTGGGAATGCAGGAGTGTAAAGTGAATACTACATCAGCATCAATGGAGATCTCATAGCTTGTAAAAAGGTAACACTCGTCACTGCTGAGCTGTTTATATTCACTCATCAATATCTGGTTTGTGTAGATGATTCTGACATTCAAGTCCTTGAAGAAGTGAAAGGTTTCCACGTAAATAGGCAAAAGTTCCTAAAGGAATGAAGTTACCGGTGTGATTGATAAAATCTCCAGGCCTGATCACGGTGTTAGGATTAACGATGTAGGTGAATCACTGACGGCCAGTTGCAAAAACCTCCCGGGAAAAAGTCTATACACTGTCAGGTCTATAATGTAATTGTATATTATTGTTTGCAGCAGAGACCTACAGCGAAGGGTCTATGTTTACAGCTGACATAGTTCATGTAAGAGTTTTCGGGATCTCGAGCCCGACATTATTTACTACATATTTTACACCACTGTAGATACACTGACACTGTTTATCGATCGTTTACCAAATTTACTTCAGTTGATCATATTATTCCCCAGACGACTCTTATTAATAGAATATCCATGTAAGAATCGCATGTAAAGTATTTTGGTCGTCCTGAATTGCGACTTCCTCAGCATGCTTAATGCCCGCCTGTAAATTTTACAAGGCTGATTTCGCAACAAAAACTCACTTTACAGACGTTTTTCTACCAATAACAAGCAGATCAGATCGTCCGAAATCTTCAAAATGGCATCACAACAAAAGTTGTAGGATTTTCTTTCATTGGTAAATATGGTATAAATTCGAAAAATTCAGCAGTTCAATAAACCATGCTTTCTCGTTTGGTAAACGGATCAATAATGAACACGTGGTAAAGGGTAAAATTAGTTCAAAAAAGGAACCGAATAGCTACTTAGTATAAAACTAAGTCCAATACAGACACTGTTTTATAATAACATAATACAACAAGAACATGTCACATAAATGTAATTATTTGCAATAATTACTATTTTTTATTTCCTATATATGTATGTTTAAGCAATAAATATAAGTACCTGCTTACATGTAACAACTTCATGTCAAAATGGGCCACTCCAGCTTTTCATCAATCATTTTCTTTTTTCATGTTTTACAGTGTATTGCCTTTACATGGGGTGTATTTGTATCCCACTTATGACAAAAGAAAGCTTTAGGAACGATTCTTAGTTTTACCACAAAGGTCCCGTCAAGTATGGTGGTGAATAAAAACTTTCAATAAACCGGCACTTATTCACCATTTCACAGTTTCTATGTTCCTTTATTTTACTTGCATGTAGTTTCTAAGTACACTCTACTGTTTCGTCACATTTTACTAATATTCAAAAAGAAAGTCTTAGCTATGATTTTGAATCTGTATTTTCATTTTATTTAATAAGTACATAGTTACCATATGCATAGTGTGACCGGTTGACATACAATATATTCCCCTTAAAAGAAACCAGGGGGGGTGTCAGTCAGTGAAGAGGAAAGTGATATAAAATATACCTTTCCAGACTCCTCAGTGAATCTTCAGTTTGTACTGTTGGCTATTTAGAGTGATTTTAAACTTTTTCCATATAATGTTTAGTTCCGTTTTTTTCCCTTGATGTGTCCACAACATTAAGTTTTATCATCTAATTTTGAAAAAAAAAACATCCAGATATACAAGTTATATTTGCTTGTTATTCATAAATTGTCATCTAAGTGATGCAAAATATGAAGTAATAGAAGTTCAATATGACAATAATTAAAAATACTAAATCGTTGATAGAATAGCATTCATTTTAAGTTTTCACTTGCCATGAAGTTAAGAAAAACGTTAGTTCAATAGGACTGAATATTTTCCGAGGGTCAGCCTATCTTAATAAAAGTGATGCAAAATATGATATAATATACTGAGTAAGTTCAATGTGACTATTATAAAAAAATACTAAAACGATGATAGAATAGCATTAATTTTAAGATTTCACTTGTCATGAAGATAATAAAAAAATTAATTGTTCAACAAGAATATTTCTGAGGGTCAGCCTATGTTAATAAAAGTTATTTGAAAGATAGACAATTTAGTTTCTATTATCCAAATGTTCAGTGAATATGTGTTTCATTATAAGGGAAAAGTATCGATTCAGAAAGAATGAAAAATGTCTAAGATGAACACCAATATATTGGAAATGGAATTTTTTTGTACCATTCGTATATAGCACTATTGAGAAATGTTCAAGTTTAACGTTTGAAAATCGGTTCCGAACAAAAAAATCTTTAGAAAACTTATTTGATACATTGTTAACATCAAGTATGTGGAAATCTCTCCGCAGGAACAACATTCGAAGATAACAAGGAATTTATAACTGATTTACAGTAATTTGAACAGCTTTAGACTTTGATTTAAACATAATATCCATTGACCACAACTTCTTTCAAAACCAAGGCATTTTTGCCATCATGTGCATTCACGTCATCTGTTATGTAATTAGGACGGACTATCTTAACTGTGACGTAAGATCCGTACAAAGCTGGCTGTTTCTCACACTTTATTGTGTGGATTAGTCCTGTCTGACTTGGTCCGTCAAACGTGCCACAGGTTTCCATCTCGGACCAAGCAGACGACACACCGACCCTTATTTCGACACTGTGCAGCCAACGACCTGAAAAAGTAATCGTTTTAGAATGCAAAACTGGTGACCAAAGGAATATTGTTTAAAGTGAGTTCCCTTGCCCTTTCGTTTTTTAAGAAATGCTTTTGGATAATGATTTATATTTTATCCCTTAGAAACAACATATTGTGGCCCTATTGTAATTAAACAATGTAGATTAAGAATTTTTGTTTATCAGCATTATCAATTAGAGAATGATATAAAAATCTGTGAAAAAATTCAAATGTTCCTGATCAGAAAATGTCAGCTGACCATTTTTTAGAATATAATAAATACTGAAGTTCTGTTAATCATGGTCAAGGATTACTTGGGGCCAACAGTATTGAATACATGTAACAGCTTTTTATGCTTTCTTCTTGAAAGCATCTTTAAAAAACGTTTTACTTAAGAACAACAGAACTGTCATAAGATGAACTATGTCATAAGTCTAAGAAATTATTTGAAGGATTGTACTGAAATAGTCATAGTTTTACTAGGTTTTTAAACAAGAAAAAAATCTTTCAAAAAAATTATACTTATTACTATGTTTGTCAATCATTATACATAGGTGTGTAAAAATGGAAGATAATAATTATGTGATTAATAATGTATCATTAAATTCCAAGATAAAAAAGCTTCTTTAACTTTGATTAAGTTATGTTTATGTCGGATCTCTAAATCACCAGACACTTCAAGTAAAATATAGCAAAGGGGATATCCAAGATATAATACCTCTGCTTGCCTGTCTTACCTTTTTTAAAAGTTTACATGTGAAGAATAGGGAGGCAATACGCCATGATAAATTGTATCAATGTGCTACGATTCTCTCATTATTAAAAAAATAGATTTTGAATATAAAACAATTGAATGTTCAACAGCATGGCAGGCCCTAATACATGTACATATAAAACTGTATGTCTTTAAAGTTTTAAAGGCATAAGGATAGATGGCAAATGTTAGAAGAAATACGGAAATCAGAATGATTTTTGCATCACAACTTAGCATTTACACCAAAGGTCCTCATTTTTTTTCATATTAAAAAGATTTTGAAATCCTCTATAGCCAAAATTGCTGTAATCAAAAAAATTGGTGTAGTGCTTCTCTTTAAAAAAGATTTTTCCCATATCATTTTCAGTTAAAAAAATTGGCCAGGTAAATTCAAGATAAAGATTCTTTTAGCAAATCTCTGTAAATACTATACTAGGATAATTGCTTAGAAAGTTTTTTTATGCATAATCTTATCGAAAAATATTATTTCGTTCGGTAAACCATTGATTCATGCTTATAAAAATGTACATTAACCTATTGTTCTTGAAAATAAAATGAAATCTTAAATGATGTTTCAATGAGATGTTCTGAGTGCAAAAGACCTTAATATTGCAGATTTATATAGTGTAAGGACACCAACAAACGATTACAGACAGCAGATAAATTTATTAAGAAAAGCCTAATTAAGCATTTGGAACAGATAAGTTTTTAGAGGCAAAATATTTACAGTGTTTTGTAGCAGAGTTGTAAAAGACAAAATATCTACAATGTATTGTGATAAAAATGACAGGACAATCCTAAAGCACCATTTTTATATACACTTTAAACTCATACGTATAGTATTGCTCAAAATCAAATAATGATTTACCTACCCTTTAGTAATTTGAAAAAATGAAATTTCATATTTACCATATCCGTCATTTCTATTGTAAAGAACAACGTTATTCACAATAGAAATTTTTCCAAGAGCAATCGTCAACCATGGATGAAGTTCGTAGTTAGAGTGAAATACGAGGTAATTATTAAAACCAATTACACCATCCACAACGCAGTTCGGATCAATAGAAGAGAATGGAGAAAATGGAGCGGTCGAACTAAAGGAGATATTCTTTCCTAGTGCCAGGTTTTCCACTTAAAAACAAATTGAATAATTCAAAAAAAAAAAAAAAATTAGTAGACTTTAAAATTAAAAAAACAGTTCTAAATTACGCATGTTAGGGAGTTAATATTCATATTGAAATGCTACTTCTTGTATTTATTTATCTATTTATTTTTTTTAATTCTAAATACTGTGAAAAGTTATTACTTTTGAAAACGGACCTAAATTAAATTATATTATTTTATGTTCCCCAAAGATTGTGTCAGTTAAAGGTGAACAAAGTGAAACTGGAACATAAAGGGTGTTAAGAAAATTCATTACACATCTTTCTTTCCTTTTCGAAAAGGAATAGGATGATAAGATATTTACAGTTTGTGATGTATATATAATGTATATGAGTTTATTCTTGCTACATGTACTCATAAGGTTTCATTTTTCTTATGATGAATCAAAGACGGAAGGCCATTTATTTTAACAGATGATGTCTGTGCAATATGGGTCTCAATATGAGTGAAAAATTCTCGAGAGGGATGTTAAACAATATACAATCAATCAATCAATCTTGCTTATATTTACGCTCATAAGCTTGTGTGATTCAAAATAAGTCTAGCAGAAACAAAAGTAAAAAATCCTTAATTTTCACTCAAAATGACCAGCATTTCTTTCATTCAGGTGCTTTAAAGATGTTATACATATTTTCATATGGATGAAAAATCCTATAACTTTACGTTAGAAATGAATTACTAAAAATTGAATGCATAGTCATGTGATTTTGTCAGACTTAAAAATTCATCTCTTTTGTAAAGCACTATACTTTGAAATTTTCGAAAATATTTCATCATGGAACGAACTTTCTAAACACCCCTTACATAATTACTAATGATCTTTTTTATTGCTTTGAAGGACAACTATAATACATTCATGATTAAAGAAAAATAATCTTGATGCATAGCTTTTATATATACCATTTGGAAGATGATGTTCAACCTTTACACAATCTAATTAAAATTATATGTTAGATCCGCTCGCATACTCGCTACACTAAATCTAACAACCCCATTGAGGGTCACGTAAGGGGTCAAATTCGGAACGTCTATAGACTTATTTGCTTCAACAATATACGATGATTTTGCCAGCGACGATCTGATTGGTTGATAGAATTTAACCCCTGATGTGACCCTCGATGGGATGTTGTTAGATGTTAATGAAGCGAGTATTCGAGCGAATCAAACATCTAATTTAAATTAGATTGAACTTTACAAGAATTTGGAGAATAAAGGATGCAATTTTCAAAAACACGAATATAGAAAGAAAACTAATAAACATAACATTGATTTTTATGCAGTTATTTTTAGCTCTCGGCAAAATTAAATCATCTTTAGATATTTACTTCAAAGATCTGATATACGTATATTTATTTTAATCTGATGATTGGCAAATTCGGGAAAAAAATAACAAAGTACCTGATTTTTTTTTATTCATGCACAATTCACGTGTGGGCATTTGAGGAAATTTTAAAATAGATTGCAACTGTGACAAGTTCACTTAAAACTACGTTATTTTAAAAATACGTATCTCAAATCGGATGAGACCTTAACAATCGAGGTCCCTTATCAAATGTTTGATTTTGGCACGATAAAGGCCCCTTACTGCTAAATGGCTATGAGTGCCAAGGAAAGGTCACATGTTGAAGTCCGTCACAGCTATGTTTTGATGTCTCTATATTAGTGCCTTGTTCTCGAATGGGCAGAAAAAACAGCATTTAATCAATCAATCCAAAATAGAAGAAAGATGATTTTTTACTTACCTAAAATTCCTACAATTTAGCTAATTTAAAATGTATAGATCAACAGTGGGGGTGAGAATTTCTTGGGGAAGGGTTTCTGGTCATTGGTTCACAATAATAAGGTCAGGAGGGTTATATAGATGCTCAAAAAATATTTCATTACCTTTACACGTGTACTCTTATGACGTACTGCCAAAGAGCAATGAAACAGAAAAAAATACTAGTACGTCAACCTGCCGTAATGAAAGATATATAAATATGCCCTATCAAAACGGTGATGCCTAGCATATAAGTGTCGAATAAATATGCTCTATTCAAAATGGTGCTGTCTTGTATATTTTGTGAAAAAATCAAAACTGACACTGTTATACATACAATCGTCAGAATAGTATTTCCATCCCTTGTCGTCAAATATATGTGATGTGAAGATTCTCCGATGAGTACGACATTTCCTCAATTCTTCATTGTATCCAAAAAATCCACAATCACTTTGACACATCTGAGAACATTCAGGAAACGATTTATTTTTATACTCCCCTATTAGTTCGCTATTTGACTTCTTGTCCTTAAAATTGAATTCAGCGATGTATCTCCGATAAAAACTTAAGGCATGGGACGTTGTTAAAAGGAAAACAACCAAAAATTTCAACCAATTTCTGCACATATTACACCATGCGTTTATCCTAACCAACATATAAAACGTTCTCTAATCAATGGTAAATATAGTTTCCAATTTAAAGATCAGCATTCATTTAAATACCAATGCAATAGACTGACTAATAAGCAATAATATTTTTTATAAATATAATTTACTATCTGTAACGTATAGAATATGTGAACCAGCATGATTGGTAAGAGTTTGCAAGTAAGGAGATCACGTGACACCCGCCGGAGACGGACGCTTAAAAATTCTGTCCGGTGTTTGGTCTGTTTTTGGTGCTTATTTGTTGGGATTTTTATTTCGTTCACTTGAATTTTGGACAACATACGTTCGTGGGTGTCTGGGATACATTTTATATTACAATCTGTGAATTCTATGCCCCGAAAATTCAAAAGAGAGGAAGATCAAATAGTACAAAGAAATCGGCTGATAAGAGTTCACCTGAGGGGACAGGCAAGGCTATCAAAACGAACTCACTACAAAGTGAAAACCTTCCAGAGTCGGTCCCGTTAGATAATGAAAAGGGCAATGAAGCGAAATCACGGTCTGTGAATAAGAACAAAACTGACGATCATGACGCCGATGAACACAGCCTAAATGCACAACTTAAGTATGTCTGTGAACAAGCAGAATGTAATTATGACGAAATATCTACACTTAGGTCAGAAAACGCCTACTTGCGCCGAGAGGCGCCAGTGTCGACAGCAGAATCTTAGTTTACAGATTCCGAGAAAACGATGAAGTGGCTAAAAACTATCATGATGATGGCGAACATGGAGGGGGCCAACGCCTCCTTAAATTCATGCAGGACAACCAAATCTTCAACGCGGATATCGTTGTGACGAGATGGATGGGGGGACATATTGGACCTGAGCGTTTTACCATCATGGAGAACCTCCTGAACGATGTTGCAAATCTACTATAGGAACGATAAAAAACTATGTGAGTGAACAGGTGTGAATAGGGACTTTCTCCGATTCGTAACATCAATATATTGTTTTCTTTAGTTCAAGTGCTTTTTATTGATTATTGCGGAAATAAGAATGCCACCGTATGGTTCTGAATTTCATTTCTGTACATAACCGGAATTTGACATTTTATTCCGAGAAATATAACTTTTAGATTTCGAGTGGCATTTCCGATGTAGTTAGCTTTTTCTTTTTGTCACAATTACATTGATCTCGCACCTTTAGAAGCACAGATCTCTAAAATTCAACCCAATGCACTTCTGTCATTTTTCTTTTCTTTCTCTGTTTTCTTAACTTTTCTCTTTCCTCATTACTTTTAAGCACGATATGAGAGCTGCGTCTTACAGAAAAGGAAAAACCAACTGAAGGTAATGTTTTGCAGTTTTTTTTCGCCTGTTAATTTCATAATCTTATGTCAGAGCTAAAAATTATATCTGCAAATTGTCAGGGCCTTCATGACTTTAAGAAAAGAAAGGATGTTTTACAATACTACAGACAATTGAAGTGTAATGTACTCTGTTTACAAGATACTCATTTTACTATAGATATGGACATATGGAGAAATGGTGTTCATTCTGCTCATTTGCATATTCGCCATATTGGAGCTATAATGGCGGCATATTCTATAAAGGATTATATAGAGAATTTACAAAAAATTGCCAATTTTTATATTCTAAATATTTCGGATAAAGTTCTCCCGTCGATCTTTTGTTTTTTCTTTATATCCTCTACCGGAAATAACAATGATGTTGATGCCAAAGTGAAAGTTGCGACCGCCTTTTAATTTGAAATTAGAAGCGAGAGTACACTGTTTTAATGAAGAAAAGAGTACTAAATAAGTGTTTTTATCATTTTTGGTGATCAAATGTAAGTGTTTTTGCACGATGACAGAGTTCTTCCGCCGATTAAAAGGTGCAAACGAAGGTCTATTTTTAGAAAATATTGATGTTATAAAATTGTATAAAGAGTTACGACCGCCTTTTAAACTGAAAAACGGCAATTTTTGCATTCGCCTGACCTACTAATTATTGAAAATACGGTATCATTAATTGCTAACTGAAGATAACGCTAAATTCTACCCATTTAGGTATGTTGAGTGCTTAAAGAAATTCAAATAAAAAAGTCTTGCATGTTTTTATATTAAAAAATTAAAGAAATGGTATAATTTGATTTTTTGCAGAATCTTATGAATATTAATGAGAAGTAAATCACGTGGGGGCAACCCCATGAATAAACTGCACGTCATTTCTCCATATGAGGAAGATATACTGACACGCAAAAGAAACGCTACAAGCAGTAATTTACAAATGATTGATTTTGTTTATCTCTTGATTTTCAAAAGTGAATTAGGTAAGTTACACTTATTTTTAGGAACATCAGAGATTTTATAAGAATGTTAAACATTTATCTATTAACTTTACTAAGCAAAATATGACTGTTAAAACACCCCCTCCCAGCCATTCAAGTAAAACGTGCAAGACTGCCCTAAACA